GGCTCCACTTAAATGAATCCCCTGGTCATCCTCGGCCTTCTTAGCAGCCGTTGATTCATCCAAAGGCCCAGGAAACCTGGAAGAATCTTGGCAGTTGCTCCTGGACAGTCTTTGCTTTTAACTATTTGACACAGGCCAACATTTCCACAGGGCCTCCGTTGGGGGAGTTAAACATTAGATAATTTAAGGTACTGTGGTTTTGGAGTTAAGGGTACCCCCCCTCCCCACCATGGATCATCTGTTTTATCTCTACTTGACTTTTTTAAAATGCTGGAACTGTTTTTTTGATTGAATACGAAGCGTTTTTTCCTTTGACATTTATACGACCGAAGGTGGAAAAATAAGACCTTTGCTTATTAACAAAATGAATCAATCTCCTTCCCCCATGGGAACTTGAAAACAATTTAGAGAATAGAGTAAACTTCAGATTTTCCTCTGCTACGAATTGGGTTGACCTTTCTTCGAGGTAAAATTTAAGGGAGATCTAGCTGGGCTTGACAGAAAATGGGGTCACACTGGGTGCCCCTACTTTTTACCCTGGCTGGAAGTGCTTGTTCTGTCACCTGCTCTTACAGCCTCGTTCAGCACCTTCTGAGAAAGGAAAGGTGAGGCCCACAGAGGTTAGAGTGCTAGCAGAGGTCACCCCGGGACACAGTGACCCAGGGAGAACAGTGCTCAGCTCGGAGCCCTGAAAGAGGTTGCAGTGGACAGCTGCTCCAAATAGTCAATCCTCGAGGGCGGCAGGGTTGTTGTTTGGTATTTTTCTTCCTTTTGACTTTGTAGGTGCCAGATGTGTATGGGGAAATTCCCCATAAGGTGGGTGCACGGTTAACCCCTCCTCGGACCAACCGTTTTGCATGTTCCCCCTCCGAGGCCGTGAGGCTGGAGTTTCCAGCCAGCTTGCCCTGCATCTGGCCCTTGCCTGGGAGTGAGAAGCTCAGAAGAAACAAAAGCCAAGAGACTGTGCTGGAAACAGGACCGCAGGGCTGAGAAGATACTTAGAAAAGTGGCCTGAGGCCAGCTCCTATGCTTTCCAAATATGCCAGGAATGCTGGGCCCAGAGCAAGGGCACAAAACAGGAGAAAGAAGAAAAAAAGAACAAGCGTCCCCAGGGCACAGTCCCCAGGGCATAGGTCTAGTCAAGTTGTCCAAACAAAGCAGAAGAGAACTCCTAGCCCCAAATGAAAGTGGACCGAGAAGTTTTGGAACTCAGGGACGATCATTCCTAAAATGTACATCTTTAGTGGGAGGGCATCTGCAAAACGAAATCTCTCAGTCTTCCCAGCAAGGCATTTTTAAGTGAAGAAGCAACTCTGGGGACCCCGAGGAGAAGCGGTTTCAGCCCACAGCCCGTGAGCAGGGCTGGGCTACAGATCCTTCCCCCGGCCTGAGCAAGCGACTGGGGCTGGCGTCGGGCTTGTGCTTGGTTTCCCAGTTTGAGGTGGAGGATCAGGACAAGGACAAAAGGTGAAAGGGTCCACCAGCGGGGGAGGGAAAGAAAACAAAAACAGGAAGTGGCCGGCTCAGGGATTTTCCACAGGAAAGCTGGGAAACATGCCCCGAAAAGAAAAGAGTGTTAAAAGACAAAATGACAATAAATTCAGTATGAAGATCTCTGCAAGGCTTCATTCCATGGAACTGTGTTCCAGGGAGCTGAGCAGAAGAGACTGGCTTTATGCACAGAGAAACGCTGTATCAGTTACTTTTCAAAGTTACTTTCTCCCTCTCTCTCTTTCTCTCTCTCTCTCTCTCTTAGAGAGAGAGAACAGGGAGAGGGAGATAGAACAATAGGAAGATAACTAAGTCCTTAACATCAGGTTACTTCTGGCTACCTTTTTTTGCGTAAGGATTAAAGGCAGAGGGAATTTCATTACCACGCTGACCTGACGCAGACTGAAGATTGAA